GAATATTCAGCAAGAATTACTGGTATGAGAAATCTCCAACCCTCAGCTGAGTAAGACACTAATGCTCCCACAGGGCTCTGCATCATACAGCACCTTAGTGATGGAGAAATCCAGCCTCACGTAGACAATCACAGTGAAGAACAAGATGTAAAAAGCTCCAACCACCAACAGAGGCTCCTGCAGCATCAAGATTTTGTTGAAGGTGTAATGAACCTAGAACGGAAGTTCAAAACACTGAGGAGTGGTCCATGATGCTATGGGAGAGAACCCCTCCCCTCAGGCAGCTGCAGAACTGGCCATGCAATCCAGCAAGTACATATCCCTGGGACCCGATATGGGTGTTGGTGCTGCTGATGGCAGAGGATGTGCAACTGCTCCAGCAAACAGTGCAAAGGACACACTCACCACGATGTCCTGGATGTGCTGCTCCACCAGGTTGCTCTTGTGTGCCACGATAACTGGTCGTCCAAAAGTGTCCAGATAAGTGTAGTGAAGCTCATCTGAAGCACGACTGATTTCATAGGGACTGTCCACATGGATATTCCTGTGAATAAAGCCAGACAGTCCCATATGACTCTACAGTGTTGGAGATGATGTAACCTAGGACTTGGCTGGCCAACTGTGGCCTCTAGCACAAGGCCAGTTACAGAGTTTAAACAACACTCTAGAAGGAAATTAAGCTATGTTCCAAGGACTCCTCCACATGCGGAGTCATGGTTTTGTTTTGCTGTCCTCAGGCCATTAGAGCAAGCTGGAGAATTGCCACCAACACAGCATCATCTGCAGCAGCAAGCCAAGAGTAATGACACTTACTTGGCACCTTCTGGCAGGACAATCTTCACAGTCAGAGAGTCTGTAACTTGCTCATCAAACACGTGGTCGACAAACCTCATTTTCAAGGCATACTGATCACCTAAGAGAGTGCAGACCAGAGGCTGGTTACAATTCCTCAGAGAACAAAAGGCAATCTTCATGCTCCTAACAGAAGCAAGAACAGAATTCAGAGGGATACACTGTGCAGCAGGGGGCACCAGCTCACTCAAGTATACTTCAACCAGATGTCTACAAAAACCTGAAGGAAGCACAGAAAATAAGGATTTGCATATTTTAGAAATAATAGCTAGCAACTCTTGTTGCTAACGTGCAGGGAACAGTAGCTTTTAATTCTTTACTGTACAGCAACCCCCTTTAAACACAGAGGAGAAGGTTTCATGTTCCCTTCCCCTGTGCCACCCACCGAGATTGTAGAGGTACTCGTAGCTTGGCAGGTTGTAGCCAATGATATAATGGGTTTTCCATCCCCCAAAAAGGGGGAAACGGGGACGGATCTCCATCTCCACAGAGTCATCCAGGACAAGGAGGTGGCTGGTTGAGATGTTTCCAATTTCATCTCTGTAATAGACATCCTGAGCAGCAGCTGGGAGAATGGTCTGTATGGAGAGAAGCAACAGCCAGTGGCTAGGAGTTATTCCCAATGAAACTGGCAACACCAATCATGGCTGTTAAGGATGGAGGAACTGTGCTCCCACCTGAGATGGCCAAATAGCTATTCAGCTGCACTGAGAGGTAAAATGGTGTTATTACAAGCCATCAGCCACAGAAGTGACTGGCAGCACTAAAATCACTTGGCCTGTAAATGGATGTGCTTTCTCCAGGCCAATTCCAAATATCCTAGACAGTAAGGGATCTCATCATGCTCACCAGGACAGCAATTCCCTTTTCACTCAAGCCTGCTGACCTAGCTCACCAAGCTTGCTGGCCTGATGCTCAGCAAAATGAGATTTCTGTTTGGCTGCACCACCCTAGAGAATGACAACAATCAATCCTGGAGGCTTCAAGCAGCGAGAAAGGTTTTGGTTGAGATGCAAACACAATACTTTTCACATCTGGCTAGCAGAGCCACAGCTTTAACTCTTCTCAAGAGCATTGTGTGTGAATGGGTGAGTTTCCAATTAGTACAGCTCAACATGATGAGTATATGACAGCGAAGGCAACTCTGAAAATAAGAGGATGGGGACAGAATGAATGGCCCTTGCACAGCGGAAAATGGAAAGCAGAACTGTCAGCACAGGGATTTAGTGTTTTAGAGGGTCCCTGAGATTGGAGGGGTGGGAGCGTGAGGAAACACTACATGCCCTGGTCTGTGTAGTTTGTTTGGGCAACAGATGCAATAGAGCATATAGCCTCCTAAACCTACCTCCAAAGGCCATTCGTATCTAGCATGTGCCTTCTCTGAGAATAGATTAGAGCTTGAACATTCCCTTCTTGTTTGGGTATGTTTACCAAAGAAAAAGAAAACGATTTTTTTTCCCTCTGGGGATTTAAGAAAGGGAGAAGTCACAGAAAAAAACCTAAATACACAAAATGTCAACCTTAAAAGACTTGACAGAAGAGATCCCACTGTCTGGCTGTCTCTGGTAGTCGTATCTGGAGAAAGGCCCTTTCAGCACTGCTCCTGTGTGCTTTAAATCAACCGTCTCCTCAACCGCAATGTTGCCCCAGTGAGACACCTCAATGACTCGGGTCATGCTGGTGATAGTCAGGAATGGGCTGTTGTTTTCATAGTGCACCTTCAGAGTGTCCTAACAAGAAGAAAAGATAAAACTGTTAGACCTGTACTAGAGGCAACTCGTTGGGGCACATGTTCTTAGCCTGCACACAGGCTAACTCAGGCTTGACCCGAGATTCCCACATGGAAGTCTTTCCTTCCCACTCTCCAGCCTCCAAGATGTGGGTGCCACGTTTGCAAGATGACCTCTGCAGAGCCATAACCTCTTTGCATGGATGTTTACCTGGCTGTATGGAGGAATGTCCTTGAAGGGGCCATATTCTATCATGTCCTCAGTGCGGGAAGGGTTGCCCAGTTTGGTGTAACTCTCCACGTTCCTCGAGGCCAGTTTGACTCGAGTCGTTTGGGTCTTGGTGAAGTACGGTGAGTAGAAATAGTGATTTCCTTCAAAGACCACAAACTGCTTTTCACTTTGGGTGATATGGGTGGGGTAGGGCTGCAGGACGTGCGTGAACACCATTTCAACAGATACGCGGATCTTGGCTCCTGGTGCCAGAGGAGATGGCAGCTTCACAGAGAAGAATTTTCCACTGGAAGGGAGAAGAACGGGTAAGTCAGGTGAGATCCCCCCTGAGAGAGCAATCACATCCAGCCCCTACAGCACCTCTTATGGATGGGAGGCCCTGTATTGTGTGTGATTGTTGCCAATTCTTTTATTTGCTCCTCCAAGGCATAGAGATGTCCTGTCCCAGAGGGTGTGCCTACTCTGGACTGGGGAAACTGGACAGGAGGCAGCACAGGGTGTACTGTGCCCAGGCACAGACACATGGGTCCCATATAGGAAAGGGAGTAGCGACATGCTCTCCCTCCCTAGTTCTGCAGTTATGGAACATGCTGAAGCAGTGGTTTTTCATTCTTTTCCAGATGACAAGAATGATTTGAATCAAGAGGGGATTCGTACGTGCAAATGTCCAGAAGACAAATCACAAACATCTTCAGCACCTGTTCCCACAAAGTCTGTTCAGCCTCAGCTTTTTGCCTACAGGATCTGAAACTAAAGAAGCACCAGAAAACAAGCATGGCTTTGGGCTGAGGTTCTACAGGAAGAAAGGAGATTTCACCAAACCTCAAAGGATGCAGCAGATGGACCAAGGTGATGACAGACGAGAACAGACTTCAAGTCACACCTTGGTGGCCTAAGAGCAGGATGACAGGAGGCTCCAGCTATGTCAGAAACCCTGGTCCACCTTGGCTATTTAACTCCATAGCTACTGCCCTTTGAAATCCAGTAGCACAATGCTTCTGACCCACTTGAGAAGCTCCCTTTACTCCCCAGCTCTCATGGCTCAGAAAGCAGACTGCCTAGTCTTGCAGCCCAGCATTTAGAGTACAGAGCCTCGGGAAAAGACACCATCCTCTCTCTCTGCAGAGGGTAACAGCCCATTCTGGGCTGCAGTATCCACTGCACCGTGCTGCAACCCACAGTCGTGCTCTGGGGACACTGCCAAAGAGCACTTACAGTCTCTGTAACCACTGCCAGTCATTTCAGGGCCCAAAGGGAGCAATGAACAAGCCAAACTGCAGCTATCATGCTTCTCTTACTTGGTAACCCTTAATGGAGGAATGGGACATTACTTAAGGCACTGAGCACAAATAAGCCCCCTTGAAAACAGCTGAGTTGCATTTATGAGAGGGATTATCTCCTTTATAAAGCTCTCCCTTCACTTGCAGCCTTGGGTGGTTGGGAGAACCAGGCATGTGCTGCTTGTGATAGGTTCAGTGCACAGATCTAAAACTACAGGTGCTATCTCCCAAGGAAAGAGCATCTAAGAGAGGAGGAAAATTACTTCTGCTGGACTGTAGGAACTGGGTTTGGCTGCTTGTGTGAACTGTGCTCTGCAGCACACCAGGGTGCAGTTGTGTACAGAGTGGATATCTGCAAGATTGAAAGACCCTAAAGATGTCCAGGTATGTGACACTGGGGTAGTATTTCCACCCCACCCTGGGGATGACAGTATAACCCAGATGTACAGTCTCAGAGGGTGACACTCACCTTTTGCCCTTAACTTTAGTCTCTCTCACTTCCAAGGTGTTTTCCTCCTCTTCCTCCCCCTTTACCTGCCCAAAACAACAGAAAATTGTCATGCTGCTATTTAAAAGACTTCAGGTGCTCAGGGCAAACTCCATACAGTTCCTATCCATTATCCTAAGTGGATCTCCTCCTCCCCCCTGAAAGTACAAGCTAACAGGGAACTACTGCTATTTTTCATTAGTACAATTTTCAGTGTGGTCAGTGTGCAAGAACAGATACTGGAGATTACTGATAACCTTTACAAGTTCCCCTGATCCTGATTTCCAAGCTGCCACAGACATAAAACATGCCAATGAGAATCTCTGACAACTCCTTTTGTATTTTCTCAGTGGCTGGTGAGTGAGCAGGCCGTGGGAATCTGCCTTGGCCAGCCAGGAAAAAGGAGCAAGCCCTCCTGGGATGGGAAAGAACCCTCTGTCACTTACATCCCCTGGGGTAAGAAGCTGGACTCCCCTGTGCTGTCCCTGCACTAGCTGGGGATGCAAGCCCCGCTGCAGCCGAGGGGCTGCTCTCCTTACAGCAGCGGCAATTAATTAGCACCTCTCAGGACTCCCCCATCGCTTCCTGGCTCGCATCCCCTCAGCCACGTCTCCCCTTTGTTCTGTGTAACTACAGCGACCCTCAGCTCCGCTATTCACAAGGCAGCAGGAGGGGCAGGCAGGGCGAGCTGGGCGGGGGAGCCCACCCGGGGGTTCCCATCTAGGGGTTCCCATCCAGGGGAGCCCACCCGGGGGTTCCCATCTAGGGGTTCCCATCCAGGGGAGCCCATCCCGGGGGTTCCCACCCCGAGGGGCCCGCCCGGAGGTTCCCGCGGCCGGCCCGGGGCGCTGTGCC